GGGGGGGGGGGCGCTCTGCTGGGGGGCTTTGAATTAAGGCGTAGGCACAGACTTGTCCTTTAGTCAGAGTGAAAACAGGAAGGGAAGAAAGCAAATTTTTTGTGAGGGAGGCCATGGGTAATAATGGATGGAAGGAGAGTAGATGAAATCAGATTGGGGACATGGGGGAATGGGGTGGCCGTTCAGCTATCCTTTTTACTCCTGTATGTGTTTGAAATTTTCCATAATAAAAACATTCCGAAGTAATATATGTAGTGGCAGCTTGAATATTCCGGCCTTCTCTGGATGATAAATCTTGCTTTGAAATGAAATACACTTTTGTTATATTTACCTGCATGGGGGTTGCTATGCAAGAAGCTTACTATAAAAATCAGGCATTATTTAAGTGCTTCAGTTTCCCCGTCTGTAAAATGAGATTATAACAGTGTCTGCTTCATAGCATTACTTTGAGGATTTAACATGTTAACATATGGGAATGTTTAGAACAGTGTCTGGCACCTATAAGTGTTAGATATTATTAGGCTTAGTATTAGTTAGTATTATGTTTCTTATGACTTTAGTCCATCCTGTACACAGCTGCCAGGATAATATTCCATCACAGACTCTTTCTTATATACGCCTATTACCTCGCTGACCAATTTGAACACTTTATATAATCTCATGATAATTGTGCCTTTTCCTTCAAATGGTCTCAAGGTTTAAATATGCATACACGTGTGTTCTGTCACGTGTGCCCATAAATTGTCTCTAGTTTTGCTTCTGTTTGGTTCATCTTTGGAGTGGAATGTGGTGTCCCTTTCTTTGTTATTTTTACTTGTAAAGAAACTGGTTTAACTTTTAGTACAAAGTGTGCACTCCACAATGTGCTTATGAATTCCAACCTCATTTAAAAAGGACATTAGAACTTCCTCAATTAGCAAAAAGATAGTGGTTTTTTACTGATTGCCAGAGTTAATAGAAGAGCTACCACCTTACAACCTCATTACAATGCTTCATTGTTTCTCTCTATTCACTCCTTCAAAGGAGTTGAGAATATTGGCTCACCCTGTGCTAGGTAAGAATTCTTCAGGTTCTTTAAATTTAGCATTTGGTAAAGAGCAGAAGCATTTCTTTTTTTAAATTGTAGTTCTAGTTTCCTCAAAGATAGCATTTATTTTTTGACCATTAAAGTCTGATGTTTCTTTAACCGTTTTTAAGTTTTCTGGGCTCATTTTTGGTTTTAGACCTCAAAGTTCAGAACTAGATGGAGTACCCCATTAAAGATGGAATCAATTCTAACAGTAACAGAGGCGGTTACCTCTGGGAGGTGGGCGTTGTTTTGTAGGAATTCCAATTTTACTGTATTTAATGTTGTAATTTATTGGAGAAGTCAGTTTTGAGGAGGCAATTTAATTTTATGGAGCACAAATGTTTTGCCCAGTGAGGAATGGTGTTGAAAACCTATTAGCCTGAAGGTTACTTTTAATTTGCACAAGTTGAAGCTGATTTTAGCCTCCCACCACTTTTGGGGGGAACTGCCAACAAGGAAGACGAATCTCAGTAGGTGACAGGCTTTCTCACATGGAAAGGTCAGTTATGTCTTCCTTTTCAGGTCTCTTTTGAAGATAAAGGCTTCTCCCAAAAGCCTGCAAAATTCCATTTGCTATCTTAGTGTATTGTTTTAGGGCTGGAAAAGAAAGGGAAACATATGGATCTTGTAGTTTACGATTATTTTAAGAGACCTCTAACTTACATCACAGTGAATTATGGAGTACTTGAGTCTATTGTTTGAACAATTGGATTGGCCACTTTTCTAAAGAAAGTAATGTTATCTACATACCTATAAACCTATGAACAACACTTTTTACAAAGAGTCAGATTTCTTGAAGATTACTATCTTCAAGAAATTATCATAATGTCTCCAGTTCAAGTACTGGCTGTTAAAAACAAACCATGTTTCTGGGGGCCTCCCTGGTGGCACAAGGAGTTAAGACACAGCACTATGAAGCTATCTGCAGCCACTGCAGCATGAGTTCAATTCCTGACCAGGGAGGTGACCCATATGGCACAGCAGACTTCTTCTGTCTCATCCACTGCTCCCCTCAGTAATGTACTTCAGTCGATATGCCTGTTCTGCTCCCTGCTCTGTCTCTGGTGAATCCTCTCACTCCCCACATCCCTGGCATATACTCCAGCTCTTGTATGCATAAATAAATGAATCTTTAAAAAAACACATTATATACAGGGGAAGCATTTATAAAGTGGTAGGTAAATTTTATGACAAATATTGATGGACTGGCAACTGAACACGGATTTCAGTTGACTTTTTGTTGTGGGTAAATATTTCTACTCTATGGTTTCTGTGTTACTGACTCATTTTGATCCTGGCTCAAGTATGAAGTTCTTTAATGATAAGTGAAATAATGTCACTAATGAGATTAGTGACATATTAATAATTCAAACACTGTGAATCCTGAGGTCCTCAATCTATCAAGTGATACCCAGGGAAGTCTTAAGAGGATCAGGCTGGATACATTCCAATGTGTCCTTTAAATGGAATAGAGAAAACTACCTGGAGATGGACGTGAGAAAGCACCTTGCAGTTTAGCCTTGAAATACAATAAAATTGGTAGACGTAGGAAGTAAAAAAGAATAGAAGCACTTAATTTGTGAGTACTTGACTTTATTCTTTGTTACATATTTAATTGTTTGCAAATAAAGTATTCTGGAGGCTAATCAATTCTGAAATATATCTAGGTTTCTTAACCTTTACCTAATCCTCAAATATGGTCTTTTCATTTCAGTCAAGTGAGTTATAATCTGCTCAAGTCATATGTGAGAACATTTTAAAAGTGGTGGTCATGTATATCTACAGGGTGAAATGCATTCTAAGACAAATTATTGGGGGAAGAAGATGATTTTTTTTTTACAATGTTTATGCTAACTATAGCTTATCTTCAAAATTCTTATTATCTCTTTGTGGATCCCTCTGTTGTTTTTCCTGTTTAATAGCTATTATCTTTCCAGTGGATCCTGATGCTCTTCAGGTGAAATTTCTCGGGTTTTGTCCCCCCAAATCAGAAATGCCGCGTCAGCACGACAGCAGAGATGGTCTGAGCGAAGGACGTCAGGATTAAAGCACACACTTCTTGGTCAGCAAGCAAAGGCACACTTTATTTTTCTCTCCTTCCCTATTTATCCCCTTCAGCCTGGAGCTTGGGGCTGGGGGTAGGCGGAAGCTCTCAGCAAGTGCATCAAGAACATGCAACAATAACATGAGGGTCAAAGAACACAAGGTAGCAAACACAAGGCAGGAACACTTCCTGCCTCCTGTTTTTCTGTTCCAGCACCCATGGCTCATTCTTTGTTTCCACACAACAGTGTGCATATGATTCTGTGGGGGAGGTGGGGAGGTCTGTCCAGGCAAAGGACCCAACAAGAAAACTCTCTCTTTTCCTAATCCATAGGGCTCGTTCCTTTCCTTCCTGATTTGGTCGTTGAGAATATGAACGCTTACTCATCATCTTGAAACAGGACTAAAGAGGTGTTATCACCAAAGGGGCAATGGCCAGTAGAGGATTTTCACCAGAGCACACAACTGCAAGATAACTGAGGCTCAGGAACAATAATGGAGTTTATTGAACAAACAGGAAACAGGGTTTCTAAGGCCATAAGTGGCCTGCTATTTCTCCTGAGTTTGTCTTTAGTGTACAGAAGTCTGAAACTAAATGTCCTGTTCAAGACAGTGCAGTGCCACCCATGAGGGCCTGGAGTGTGTGACAACCAGCAAGCAGAGGGCCAGGATCCAACTCACTGCAACTGGAGGTGCTCACAGGTTGGGCTGCTGTGATGACACTGCAGCAACCCAAAGTAAAGGACAGTCTCAAGTCTGGGGTCAACAGCAATGGACACTTGACTAGACAACAATGGAGGCTGCAGCACCGGGGGACCATACATGAACTGCAGCTAGCTTCATAGTGCTGTGCATTACCCTGTTGCACCACCAGGAAGGGCCCAATAGACCATTTTCAATTCTAAGTGATCATTTTAGGACCAGTCAGGACATCTACTGCTGAATGATGAACTGATGAACATGACTGATTCATGTAAGCTTGCACCTCATTGGTCCTTTCTGCAATAGGCATGCCAAATATAAAAAGGCTAGTCCATGGCACACCATCAAGCCCTGTCAGTGCCAGGCCCCTGTATAGCCATCCTAGAGGTGGCAGGACTGCCTGGGTGCTGCCCAGGGGCAGTGCTCTGGATAGCTAGGGGGAAACTCCTATTTGGGTTTTATGCTTACACCCCAAGTTGCAAGCAGCAAGGTCTGGCATGGGCATGCTTTCCAACAACTTTCCCTGTTTAGCCAGAAGCAAGCAAGGGAGCCAGTCTTGCCCTGCACATAAGCTGGGAGGCTCTAGTTTCAATCTCTCCTTAAACATTCCATTCCCTACAGCATTTTACTTCCTTTGCTCTCCTAAAATTGTCCTATCAAAGGTTGCCACTGACTTCTGTCTTCCCCGGTGTTTAGATGTTTTATTTTCCATATTTTCCACTCTTAACTACTTTCAACCCTCTCCATGTGTTCTTGAGTGCCGGGATACTCACCTTTATCGATTCCGTTAGCTACATTCACCACATTCCTTACACTATGACTTGTGGTTGTTTTTGGCCAAGGGGACACCGGCAGGGGGCTGGAGAGTGAGAAAGAGGTCAGGGTCATTTATTCTCCCCCTTCCCTCTGTGCAGGACTGCAGTTTGGAAGCAGCGAGCTGGGGTCCTACACCAGTGTCCTTGAAAGTTACAGCCAGGCCTTCAGCCTCTCTATAGCTATACC